GCAAACAAGCGTGGAAAGCAGCCGAGTCCACAGGCTTCAGCAGCGGCAGGAGCAGAGCTGTTTCCAAGAGCCAAACAGTATCAATTTCCATGAAATTCAGCAGTGCTGAACTGCAGCTCTGCTGCGTTCGCACTCCGACCAGGAGAGGACTGTATGTCTGGTTTAGGACTAAGTGCTCTCCATGGCATCAGAGACCTGAAAGACAAAGTCTCAGCCTGCAGGGCCGGGACTGGCCTGGGACAAGCAGCACTGTGTGAGCCAAGCCTAACACTCCTCTTGCTCTGCTGGGTGAACCGCAGCCCCTCAGGCAGCGTCCCCATGTGATTTAAGCAAACACACACTAAAATGTTTTTAAGAAATCTTCCATGAACTGTGTTCTTATTTTCAGGTTCCTTAACCCAGAAGGCTGGTCCTGCAGATGAATTTAGTCAGAATTACCAAAGACCCCTCTGCTGACCTAAAGTAACGCTAAGTAACATCACTCAGCTCCATCCCTCCACAGGGAACTGCATGGGTGGCCAGTGGGACACTCTGCGGATTAATTTGCAAAACGAAAAAACCAGAAATGGCTCTGTCCATTGTACCCCAGAACATCACATGGAGAGTATTGCAAAGGTGCTTAAAACCTCCAATTTAAACACCGGTGTTGAAGAAAACAGCAACCTCCTGCCCGTGCACACATAAGGGTGACAGTGACCTGCTGCAGATCGTGCTGCTGCTGGAAACCCCTCCTGTACCCACCACCTCAATCCTGGTTTGGAGGGCAGGCAGGGCAGCGCGGCGATGGAGCAGCCCGACGGTGCCCGAGCTCTGCATCCCGAAACTTTGCCCTCTGTGTCGCGAGCGCAGCGAGGTGCCACGGCCACCGCAGGAACCAGCAGCTGAACTGACCCAGTTTGCCCTCCCCGAGCTGCAAGGCCTTTCTGGAAAGTTTATCCTCGCCCAAAGGAACAAACCTGTTTGTAGCTGATTTCAGATTTTTTTTCCCCACCTGTTTCTTTCTGAGGCTCAGTTAGGAAGGTTATCTTTGGAGCTGATCAGAATTAGCAAATTAGCTCAAGGGGAGATAGTTGTTCCCCCCTCCCATCACAGAACATAATTTGTCCCTATTTTGTTTTTTCTGTGATGTAAAGAAGCAGCATAGTGACCCGAAACAAAAAAAGGTCATTTGTCATATTTTGACTCAAGTAAAGATATGCAAAAAATTTATGTTAATTTTCACCTTTTCATAGAAACCACAAAAAATTAGGGGTTAAAGCCGCCAACTCAACGGGTATCATATTCTTAATAGTTTGCTGACCAAATACCTACAGCAGAGGGTAGATTGGAAGTATGGGTCTGCTTCCCAAAGCTAATGACATTCTGTATTTCTTTGCAAATCCTTAGGCTTGTCAAAGTAGTAGATTTTATGTTTTCTTTACAGATTTCTAAGGTCTTAGAAAAAGATTTTTACAATTAAGGCAGAGATAATAACAAAGCCTGAAACTGGCTTTAAATGTCCAGAGAGTAAAATACCACAGAAAATAGCATTCATTTTGCCTCTTGGCAGATTTTTAAAAAATAAATAAATATTACTAATACTATAAACCCCATTTATTCATCTTTGACACCAGTTTGATTTGATTTTACTTGCAAACATCCCAGAGTGACAGGTGAGAATCTGGAATTACTGGTGCTATCTGCCAGCAAGACCAAACCCTGCAGATTAACGTTTTCCTTCCCTCTCTACACTGACCATAAACCAGCCATGAAACAGCAGCTAACTTCATGCATCTACATTACGGTTTTATGTCTGAATCTTTATCATTAAAACATTTGACATTTAACAACAAGGAAACGATCTGCACCGCGCAAGACAATGTAGGAGCTGGGGGAGCTGCCTGGGACCCCAGCCGGTGGGGACCACTGGCTCCCCCTTCCCCGCTAGCTCCTGCTCACTGTGAACTGAGGGGAGGTGGGCTGGTTTCAGAGCTCAGCCCTCCCGCTGTAAACCAGGGGCAGCTCCACCCAGAGCGAGTGTTAATTCAGCCTGTTGCTGCACTGCTGAGCAGAGACTGGAGTCTCTCCTGTTACTCCCATTTACCCCGTGCGCTCCTTGCCTTCATCCTGCGGAGCACAGGAGCCCCTAAGCCATGCGGTGTTTAACTGCAGAGGAGGACCAACGAGCCTGACGCTTAGCAGCGATGTGTTGGGAGACTTCAGAAGGGGCAGACCTGATGACAAAGCCTCAAAGCCTTCTGCAAGCTATTCTGTGACCTGTTTGTGACTGTCAACAACTCATGTCTTAGAAATCATTGAATTCCAACTTCATTTAAATCAGTTCCCTTCTTTGCTTGGTGGGCAGAGGGACTGAAAAAGTGAGGAGGAAATACAGAAAAAACAGGTTTGGGCTATTAAACTGTATCTAAACTGCTGTCACCTCAGTTCACTGTCCCTTTATCACTTGCTTTTTCCTTCCAGCTCTCCTGTGAGACAGAGGAGGAGCACAGCAGGTAGCTTTGGTTGGGGTTGCTTTTCTGTTTGGAGTTAACCAACAGTGCACGTTGGGTACAATGTCGAGGTGACAGATCCACAAAGGGACGGAATATGTGAAGGGGAACCAGCTCCAGCTCCAGGCAACCACTGCTCCCCCCTCGGTGGGTGCTTCTGCGGAGCGGGATTCGGCCGGGCGCAAGCATGGGTGGTCTCTGGGAAGGTCGCCGCAAAGGGACGCCGCAGACCTGGCAGCTGTCACCCAGCGCTCACTATCCTGAGCCACGCGGGGCCAGACTGTGCGGAGATCCCGAGCCCCAAAACCCAGCGACCGTGGGGTGCGACGGCACGTCCCTGTGCAGGCGTCACTGGGGCTGCTCGGGGCTGGCTGGGTAGGAGTGCTCCTGGGCATCGGCGTCGCAAGCCCTCTGCTGTCTGTACCTTACTTTGACATGTTTCTCAAAAAAAGACAAAAAAAAGAAAAAGAAAAAAAAACAGAAAAGAGTGGAAAAAAAGGAAAAAAATGGTCTCCGTGACATTCAGGGGATTTTCCTTTGTGGACATGCAGAATTTCTATGAATATAGTTTTTTGTAAACATTTTGTAACAATTTTGGTTTCATAGTAACTGTGTTACTTGCTGATCATTCTAGGCTGATGTAAATAAAATTTCCAAAAAAAAAAAAAAGAAAAAATTCTGATTATTTTCCTTTTTAAGACACTGTGATATATCAAAGTGCACAGTTTGCTGTATGAAGTAATATGGTTTTAAATTTTAAATAAAAAATCATTTCTAGAAAATAATGAAGTTTATGCCTGTTTATACTGAACAACTTCCTTCTTCCTTGTTGAAATTTTATATCTAAAACCAAGCTGTTTAATGACATCCCCTGTCTCTCCTGATAACCAGCCATAAAAAGCCAGTGATTAAAAAACCAATTCACAACTAAACCCAAACATCTCAGGAGAAGAGCTGCTAGTGCTGCTCGCCAGAGGGGATTTGTGTGTGTTTAGGAGCGGTGATGATGGGCTTGATCATAACCCTCGGAGAGGAAGGAAAGATCCCCATTTGCTTCCCCTTCGGTCAGAGGCGGGTAAGACAGACGATGAGGCTCAGATGGTGTAACTCTCCCTGTCCTCGTATTCCTACGGCAAGTTTGGTATCAGACAAATAATTAAGTGCAGGTACTCCATGAAAAGCCATCTGCAGAAACGCTCTCCCAGCGTGGTTTGCCTGGAGGCTGCGTGCGCTTTTCATTACGGAAAGGGGCCTGAGCCCGAGACCCTCCAACAAGACTGCACGTCCCCAGCTGGCTTCAGGGTTCGTAAAAACTCTGTTTACCTGCTTTCCCTTTCGATGTAAGTCAAAAATCTTACTAGCCTGATAAAAGCTGAAAGCACCCTAAAGGCCAATGTTTATTAGTCTGAAATCTTTATGACTCTGCTTTATTATATTGAGGCAGGGAGAAAATGTCTGTGGTTTCCAGGATGGGAACAATGAGAGCGATCGGAGCTGTGCCATTCGAGGCTACAGCAAAACAAGCTCTAACAGCAGAGGCACAGCCCTGGGGACAGCTAGCCCAGCTCTGGGCTCCTGCAGCGCGGCGAGCCTCGCTCCCCAAAGCCCTCCTCTCCTTCGCTGCAGGAGATGGGCATTGCCTGGAAATGTTTTTGGGGTGGAGGAGTGGTATTTTAGGCACTGTGGTTGTGCATTTATTAAATAACGCCCAGAAGCTGCCATTTCCTGTACACTGAGAT